TTTTGGACGCCACCGTACTTTAGTGTATGATCACAGTGGGGTTCAAGCTAGTGGATTTTAAAGGCTTGAAATTATTCCCTACAGTAGGCCCTTCTCTTTTTGTATTTGCATCCTTCAAAGATGACTCTCTCTTTTGTTCATTCTTTGGCTTACCGGAAATTTTTACTAGAGCAGATGTGGTGGAGACTGCCAATGACTCTTTTGTAGATTTCTTGTTGGTCTTTTCCGTCTTCCTGAAATTATTTTTCTCTTTCCTGACGAAATCTGAAGAACTTGTACCACGGCTTGAGATGCTTATCTCCATGTCGTGGGCTCGAGTTGCTAGCTCTTGAAAGGACCTTGGTTATATCCCCTGTAGGATGTACAACAGATCCCACTTCATCCCTTGGATACACATTTCAACAACAAAGGTTTCTGATAGGCGGTCTTTGCATTCTAGACTTAAAGCTCTCCATCGACTGATGTAGTCCAGAACTGGTTCATCTTCCCATTGTTCAGTCTTGGTTAATTCGGTCATGCTGACTATGCGTCGTGTATAGTAGAATCTCTTCTTGAACTCCTCCTCCATATCATCCCAACTATCGATGGACTCTCGAGGGAGATCAGTGTACCAATCGAACGCAATTCCCTTAAGGGAACGAACGAATTGTTTGACAAGCAAGTCTCCTACCGTTCCAGCGTTTTTGCATGTTTCAATAAAATGAGCGATGTGCTGCTTGGGATTGCCTTTCCCATCGAATTGCTGGAATTTTGGGGGTTGATAGCCTTTAGGCATCTTCAATTTGCTGATTCTCTTGCTATATGGCTTCTCGTACAACTTCTTGTCACGAGAACCTTCTCCTAGTTGGTTCTTGATAGCGTTTGCTATCATATCTTGGATCTTGTGGATGGTGAATATGGACTCGCTTTTAGCACTTGATTCGGAACTCTCTCCATCAAAGTCTACTTCTTCCTCTTCCAAATCGCTTGCTCCCTTTGGATGTTTTCCAAGCTTTTTGTTTAAAGCAGAGATCTTCTCATTTTGTTGCTTGATCTGCTCGTCTTTTTCTTCTCCATCCTTCATTAACTTTTGAAGGAGGCCCTTCAATTCGACAAGTTGTTCCTCGACGGTCTTGGATTCAATCACCATAACTGCAGCAATAGTTGTTTGTGATGATTGAGAAAACTCAATCATATCAGATGTTCGTCGTGGAGTTGAAGGAGATGAGGCACAACTGCTTTCTTGATCTCCTTCGTCGAATGCATCGAAAAGCGGGCTGGTATGGATAACCAACTTCTCGGATCTGGCAGGTGGAGTCCTCTTTGAGTCGTGTGTAGAGGCGGAAGGTTCACCTTCAGGAGGAGGGAATGAGCCGAACACCGGAATCTCATGAGAAGTACAGAAAAGGCTTGGTGGAAGCGACAAATTTGAGGAGGAACGTCCACAAGATCTCGTGCATGGCTTAGTAGGGATGATAGCAGTTCGAAGTCTTGCGGCAGCTTCCTGAAATTCGGCCCTCCTCTTCATTCCTCTAGTGCGCAAGCCGTCGTCCATGAACAGTGCAGCCAACTCCGCAGCCCTTTGCTGGGCGGAGGTGAGATCCTTGGCGGCGGATTGAGAGGTGTTGTTGTTTGAAGCCATTGTTGAAGACTTGACGTAAAAAAGGAGATGAGTGGTAGAGATTGTCCCACCGAGCGTGCCAAAAATTTGTAAACACAAATTTTGAGTCTGCGAAATAGTCAAAATAAATGCAACAAATATAACTTTTATTAATATAACAAATTTGAGTACAATCTCTAATGTAATCCACTGATTCGATTTTCACGCTACGTCGTCAAATGGCTCGATTTGTTGTATTTGAAACTGGAATTCCTTAATAGAGGGCCGAAAAGGCTTGATCTCAATCAAGGTTGGTCTTCTAGAATGGAACGGCACGTCTGGTGCTTGTTGTTCTTCTTCTAGCTCTTGAGATTGGTTTTTTTTAGAGAAGTTTAGAGAGGGTTTTTTTTAGTAGAGAGGTTTTTTTTCTGGATTTTTCATGTGTGTGAAAATGAGGGAGGAGAGTTCTAATTTTTCATGTGTGTGAAATGAGGGAGGAGAGTTTTATTTATAGAGTTCTCCCAAGCTAGGGTTTCAAGATGACCACTAAATGCGCCTCATATCCATTTCCACCTCATTTCATAAATGACCCATTTAAATTAAATCAAATCCATTTTGTTGGACTTTATCATTAATTAAATGAGTTTAACTAAAATAAATAATACGGGCTAAAATAACCCATATTAATTATGTAATCAATATATTCAAGTCAACAATTTGACTTTGACCCGAACAATGTGTAACGACACTTGATAAAATTTCTGTGGCTACAGGGGGGTTTTCGTTTGTTTGCATTAACTTTCTATGGCATGTATGCATTATGCCTTGAGCATGTGAATCTTCTGAGGTCAAATCTTTATTTCTGTTTTCTGTATCTTTTAACCAGGTAGAAGTTCCCGTCAGTCATGTTTTATTCCGTTAACATGTTTTTTTTTTTTTTTTTTTTTTTTTTTTTTTTTTTTTTTTTGGGTGGGTTTTAATTATGTTTTTGAGTTTTGCATGCCCGTCTTCTTCTTTCTTTCAATAGAAATTTGCGGTTCCCTCTACCATCTTGTATGTTGTATACTTAGCTTTTCATTTAGGCTATTAACAACTTATTCCTTGTTAGTTAATGCTGTTTCTATCTCCTATCAAGTTAATGTGTAGATGATGTTTCCGAGTTTTAATTCCCGAGACGAGGAAAAAAAACCACTTAGTGCTTATGTAGGATCCTTGCTGGCCTGGTGTTGATGCAGTAGTGAGACTCTGTGCAGCTGGTGATTTGAAGGTACAACATTTTATGCAATATTTGTTTGTAGTAAAGTATTTTCTGTGAGCTTAAATGTAAGTCAAGTTAGGTATATTGTGAGAGATCAGCAGATTCAATTCACTGGACTTTTTTATAAGCAAGAGACGAGGAGGAACATCCCTCTCCAATGTCCCCCAACTGGGGAGCTAAAACAAGCAGCAAGATGGGTAACAGTTTTTGAGCTAGCTAAAAGGATTCCTTATTCTATGAGAAATTTTGATGGTAAAATAATGGTTTAGTGTTTATGATAAAAAAAGATGCCTAGAATTTTGCCTTTCTCAGCCTAAGGGTTTTAGATCATCAATTCACTATTTTATTTTATTTTATATTTTTTTTATAGTTTGCTTGTTTTCAGTTAATTTTTGATGAAACATAATTCATGGGTATGATCATTGAACAATTTGTCGTATAATTATTTTTAGCATAATATTGTTCATGTATCTTACTTTCTTAGGATATTGCTATTATATAAGGTTTTGCTGATTTGGATGATGAAGTATGCTGCCAGCTGCTTCCTGATGATCATGAAAATTATGTTTTTAATTGTGCTATCTTGATAATCATCATTAATCAATCACATTGATTGGCCCCTATGTCACATAAATTTTCATCTTTTTCTTTGATAATTTGAAAGATCATTTTTGTGATTTGTTTTGGATTTTTGTGTTTACAATTTGTTATGTGTTTGCTTAATCAACTCTTTTGTGCAACAGACTTTATAGAATAAGCCTTGGGTTTTGATTGATTTTTGACGTGATTCAGTTTGGGTGGTGTTGATAGTAGCATTGAATTGAAGACTCCTCTGGTATGTTCTCCTTGATATGTTGCAGAAGAGGCAGATTATAGACTCGGTGGATATCGGGTGCCTTTCATCCCTAGAACTGTGAGGTCTGCTAGGGTAAATTCACTTCCTTTTGATTATCTGTTGTGTTGAGATTTTGTAATTCATATGAACTTGCATTATAGAAGAGACGCTTGATTTGAGAAAAATCTGTGGACAATCAATTGTGTGCATTTGATTTATTGGCTACTGTTGCTGGGAAATTACTCGAGGAAGAGAGTTCTTAGAATCTGCCAATCAAGAATGATCAGCTAGGCGTTGATCCAGATGTATGCAGGACAAGATGAAGCCAATCAGTGTCTGAAAGATAAGCATTGAGATAAAGGGAGCAATGAAGTTGCACCCCTTAATTTGGATCTTGGATTAAAGGTAACAGGACCAAGATTGCAATGATGCGTCTCCAGCCCCGAATTCTGTGATCACTTCGTCTCACTGGCCGGAGAAGGATGCTTTTTTTGTTAAGATGGATACGAATGATGACATGAGTGATTTCAGTAGCTAGTCCAGGAACACAGTAGGATTTTCTCCTGCTCACACCGATTCTTGTGTTTTGAAAGTGAATGAATCTATGGAAGAACGTGATGGCAAAGGAGAGAGATTGTCTGGCCATGGGCTATTTTTCAATGGCAACACTACCTAGCAAAATGAAACCTGCTAGGTTGCCTGCCCGTATAGGTGATCATAGAATAAGTAAGTTGTTGGCATTCAAGCATTCGAGATTAGCTTCAAAAGTAAAAGGACAGTGATATTCTATTACTGGTAAACTATTGCTCCTTGGTTGTTTTTTGTGTTATCTATTTTTTCTTTCATCATTTGACTGTTTGAAGGCTGATGATGATTTATTAATTTTGCAGGATTACACAGCATTTTCCACAAGAAGAGGACTGGTTATAAGCGCCAGAGATCTCAAAGGATCTATCCTGTATTCCTGTTGATGAGGAAGTTCTATCACTAATTCACTATAGCTCTTTATTGGATTCTGATGGAGATTATGGATGTATTGGTGTGTGATTTTCTTGATAGACCTATTGATCAAATCATCTGTGCATTCGGTGTAGTCAAGCATAGAGTCATGGGCTCATGGCTTCTGGTTTATGTGTTGTTTCCTATCCATTAATGTGTCAAATTGCTGCTAATTGTACATCCTCTTGTATTTAACTATCATATATAATGAATGCCTTATAAATGAATTAAGATTTGTTATGTATTATCTATGTTAATTAAAGAACCTTGTATATAATTGTTCAGTGAATACAACATATAATTATCATAGATTTATTGATTAACTCGCAACAAACATGCATCAAAAGTGTTTTTATTAAAAAAATATTTGCTAATAGCGTACGCACCTATGATTAGATAAAAATCGTACAATTTTAAAGGTATGATCTGTAATACAACTACAAAAATAGAAAAAATTATTAATTATTTAACTGCTCTTGCATGACCACTCAGCTTATTTTGAGGAGCAGGAGGTATATACGTAGTAACATGAATTGCAGCACCAAAATAACTCCAGTACTACATTCAGCATTATTTGACAGCAGTAATATACATCAGTTATCTACCTGTATCGGCTGTATGACTTTCACTTGTTTTCTAACTGTTCGTACCATGAAGAATTCAGAATGATTTTATCATTGGCAAACAAATTATTTGAATATCAATGAAGTGATATGTCTTGAAATCTTAATGGAATCCAAGACCATCAAACATCACCAAGGAATTTCTTGACCATCCCAAGCAAAAAACTTCCCGTTATCATGAATCTTAGCACCATCGATGATGCTTAAGAGCTTATTCACAGAAAACTCTTTGGTGAATTGCTTGTCCTTTGGAACATTTCTCTGAAAAGGCTGAGATAGATCAGTATCAACTGTGCCAGGATGCAGCAAGAGGCAAATAATTGGATCCTTCTTACGAGCAAATTCCACTGAAGCTGTTTTTGTCACTGCAGATGCAAGAAGCAAATGTATAAATACCATGAACAGAATAACCAATTGTTTGAATAGGATTAAAAGACAAGACTGCACCGTGGCAGGTCAAGTGCTAGTGTTCCCTCATATTACAAATTCTAATTCCTTCCATCACAATGATATGTACCTACGTATACTGCTACAGAATGTCCAAAAATGTGATCATATTTCTTAAAATATACGGAAATAAATAGAATATAAAAATTGTTAGCCTAGTAAAGGAGATTCCAGTGCATACGTTAGTGAAGAACCCTTTGAATTATGAAATAATACTAGCCTACTAACAATTGCACCATTTTACAAGAAGTATGGGCAGTTTTCACTGTCAAGAAAAAACAAAAGGGCAAGTTAAGCTTAATTTTGCACCCATATAAAGTATATTTTCCTAACAACAATATTTTTTTGTTTAAATTAACACATGTACCAAATGAGCAAGTTAATGGAATCCTGTACAGACTTGCAAGGTCATAATGGAAATGATAACATGTACTGTGAAGAAACTGAAGATGATAAGAACTAGGTTGGTTTTAGCAAGGATAAAGAGATAATGATGTGAAAATTTTCGATTATCCAAAGGAAAAATAAAAAAAAAACATAAAAAAAAAGCAATTTGCAAGAAATCAAGTCTTCCATAAAGGAATAAAGCTTATCAAAGAAAGGTTTTTCTAGCTAAGGAGAAGATCAGCTTAGCAAGAATATTCAATAAAGCCCTACCATAGGGTTGGGATGAGAAATAAGAGTTCCAGGAGGAATGTTGACATATGGTCGTCTTCTCACCTCTATAAAATTTGTGAATCTTTGACAAGCAGAATACACGCCATATTTAATTGATCTATAGCATGACACAGAATACCATGATCATGTATTTTGGAAGTTATTAAAGTCAACAATTTTGCAGCAGAGTTAAGCTTTCGCTGGGAATCAGATGTGAATTTATCACTGTTATAGCAATGGTGAGATGGATCAACAAAATCTGATAAATTACCAGATTCAGAAGACAAGCTTATGGTGTTTACTATGCCGGATGTTATGTAGTCTTGTTCGCAAACGGGTTTGGCAAGGAATGATGGTTTGTTACTTGAGTGGTTTATTTGTTGTACATAATTGTCTCAAGCGATTGTACCATTTTGTTGGTAGAACTTTTTACCACTAAAGTAAAGGGTCCTGCGATCCTGCCTAGGAAGTTTGTCCATAGAAAGCAATATTAACAAGGACAAATGAGAAAAAATTAAACCCGAGTTACTTGAACGCATTTTTCCTCTATATGAGATTTCTGATCCAATTATTTTTCCCTAGTATTCTAGCAGGCAACTTTGGCTTACAATAATATTCATATATACACTTATAAAAATTATGTATATAAACACCTTCATAATTTTAACTGTATGAGTATATGTTTCTAAAAATCAAAAGAATGCAGTCATAAAGCTTTTATAAAGTACTCGTATAATAATCTTACACTGATTCAATGCTGTCTTTGAAGCTCGATATGAATGCCATCCACCTAGATTATTGTCACCGATAGATCCAACTCTGGCGCTCAAATTTGCCACAACAGCAGCATCCCTCGTAGTCCCTATTTTCCCTCCCGACTTAAGCAGGGGCCACATGTGCTGAACAAAAATGGAATTGAAACAAATGACTATATAAGTTCAGCCACACAAATTATTTAACAACATAGAAGATACTTTTTTTAAAAAAAAAAAAAACAATTGCTCGTTTTATACTACTAAATGAATTACTTTTGTCAAAAGAAAACCAAAAAATAGAGGGTGACATCAATTCAACAGATATTACAAGCAAAACATGTGTGTATAATTGAAATTAAACTTATGCTACTTTAACATTGTTTAAAATTAAAAATTTCTTGCATTATTTGAATTAACTAAACTAGATTATAGGCAGTATTGAATACATTATACATGTAAAAGTATAAATATAATAGTTTTTTTTAATAAACAGTACGAATCCTGCTAGAGGCAGGGGAAAATGAAGTACAAATCATTACTCCTAACCAAGGAGACCAGTTACAACTATACAAAAATTACAATTAGGTGTATCTTTGATATCAGTGTTAATGTTTACCTTCATCATTAGCAGAGGACCCACTGCATTAACTTCATATGCAAGCAGTAAGGCATGTTTCTGTACTTTAGTCAATGTCGTTTCTACGTTGGAAATGAAATCAGTGAAGGCATCAGCATGTTGTTCATGCATGTTTAAAACTTTCTACATCAACATTCCAAATTTGAAATTCATCAAAAAAAAAATACCTGGTTGTAACAAATTGGGTATAGACAGAATTCCAGATGTATTGAGAAGAAGATTCAAATAACCATATGTTTCGCTCACAGAAGTTGCTGCAGCCTGAAAGATATATCGAAAAAGTATATTTTCTTTTCAGTCTTCATCAGCCATGCATGTCATTTTCACCAATTCCAAAGAATATATAAACCTTCCTAAGGGAAGAAGGCTAGTTATATCACGTAGGTTTTACCACATTGAAACTACAAGGCAGACTGTCCATCCAACATAAGTCGGAGAATAGATGGCTGAAATAGAGTTCTTTAAGTCTATCTATTATTGTCAAAATAAACCATATCTGATGCAATGATTTTGTAATTTAGTACATTTAGTAGAGGGAAGCAAATGACCGACACCTAAGAGGCTTAGAATACAAAAACAAAAACAAAAAAAATCAAACAAAATACTGGGAATAATCTCCAACTACAGGCAGCTTGGGCCATTTACAATCATTGACAAAAACTTGGAACCATGATAAAATATAGCACAAAGTTGACCAGCTTTAACACAGCTATCAAGAATTCAAGATAGCTGTTGTTGAAAGTAAAGAAGGGAACCTTTTGTGATTCTTCACAAAAAAAAAAAAAAAAAAAAAAAAAAAAAAAAAAAAAACCTTTTGTGAAGTGCAGAAAGTGGGCAAGTTAGTGTTGTATTTCTGATAGAGCCAAGTTTGTATGAATGGTTGTCGACGTTCCAAAGTGTTTAGATCATTGGAGGAGACTTTTATTTTTATTTATTTTTTTTTTTTTATTTTTTATTTTTTTTTTTTTTTTTTTTTTTTGTATATACTATGTATAAAAATTCCCAAAACTTGATACTCCATAATGAACCAAGTAATTTTTCCTTGCGGAAAAAACAGCTCAAAAGTAGATAGGTAAACTAATGCTGACACCCATTGGGACATCAGGAAATACTAATAAATAAGCAGGTGTTCCAAACCTCAATGGTGTCTTCATCTGTCACGTCGACTTTCAGAAGTTTAAGCCGATCAGAGTATTGATTTTTCAGATCCTGCAGCCCAGTAGATTGATCAGGATTTCGACATGTAGCAAGAACATGCCCTTTCTGGTCCCTACCCAGAAGCTGTTTTACCTGTAAAGTCAATCATCTGGTCAGTACAGTGATGCAATACAAAGTGATTATTCAAATCCATCATGCTACAGGGGTTCCACAATCTAAGATTTTTAATAAGACAGACAAAATACACATATAGCAATATGAGGTAGCAATATTACCAGCAAATAATGAGTCAGAGGGGGCACAGTTCAGAATTTGGAATGAATTTCTTTAAGATAATTAAGGAAACAGCCTTATTATCAAAATACTTAAATTTATAGTTGTAATGAACTGACTTAAGGGAAAGTATTATGGGTATTTTAGTATGTTAGTAGTTATCAAGTGTAGTATGGGCAATTTGGGAAATCTAGTATTATTATGTAAGTAGTTTGTAACCTTAGTATAAATGGAGAGAGGGTAGAAAGAAGAAGGTAGGCAGAAATTTGTATGGAAGGGAAACCTTAGAGAGTCATGGCCTAAAGCCATTTTGAGAGTGATAGCCTAAAGCTATTAACCTATCTTTTGTAACCTTTTGGCCTTTATCAATCAAATTCAAGCTTTAATCTTTATTTGCTTGCACTATTAAATCAGAATTATAAACTCAGAAAATCACAATAGTCTGTGATATATAACATTCATAATGCGTCATACAGTTGTTCCGTCATAGGAGAAATGAGAGTGAACTCTAAACAGTTGTTCCATCATAGTGTTTGAGTACCTTGCTATCTTCACCAAAAATTAGCACATATAAAAAAAATGGCATACAGGAAGTATAATCTTTAGGGCTCAACAAAATGTAGCTCAGAAGATAATGGCATCTAAGAAGTTTGATATCTGTAGGGCTCAAGATATCAGGATTCAGGACATATCTACCTGGGGTGAAAGACTGAAAGTAGCCTGGTGATCTTTGTCATTCTCATTGCACTGGTATCTTGCTCAACTGCTTTCTCTCAGATAAGAAGACATTCATTTTTAGTTCCCGAGAGAGATTTCTCTAGGTTCCCTTGGTTCAGTGACATTATCTTCTCACATCAGGATATTGTTATGTATGTGTTTTACAGAAAACAGCGAAGAAATTCTCAAATTCTTCAGGATTTAGGGAGACAAGATAAGGCTTGATAAATATGAATGTACATCTGCTGTAACATGATTATAAAGGAACGCATAGACATGTAGTCATGTAGTTATGCGGACTTCATAAACTCTCATTACCCGGAATTGCATAGCAAATCAGCTAGGATAGTTCATGCACAGTTGGCCAATAGTGATAGTGTGTTGAGCTAATGCTCATCATATTAGCACTGCTACTCAGACAATTCTGAATTCCCTCCATTACCCCCCCCCCAACACACACACACTGACATTGATAATTGAAACTACTGTATATAGTGATGTGTATGCAAGTAACAAATTGAAATTGATAACTGAACCTTATCAGCTTTGACACTTTTTCATCGCTAAATTTAAAAGGCTAAAAATATGGTACTTACATAAGTTACATAACTACTTATCTAAGCAACTATCCAAAGTATGATTTAACAATTTGTTATCAAATTACCCTGCTTTGACCGTGAAAGTCAAATAAAAAATTAATTAAAATCACAAGTAGTAGTACTGCTCAAGGTCTTCAGTATCATTCAGCAATCATACAAATAATGGATTAAAATATGTTGTTACCCCAAAAGGATCCTGTCAAAGGTAGAGAGAGGGATGCGTATAATTGTAACTATATGATGACATTGTCGCCAGACGAACTCGAACAGGGATTTACAACTTCACTATAACAATATAACTTTCAATATCCCTTCTTCGTTTGTATTAGTATGCATTCCTTCAACTCAGTTATTTTCCCATGATCCAGTGATTACACATGGGTATAGTGGTTGCAACAATGGGTGACTTCACACAGGGTTTGATCTTTTGACAATTTATGTTCTAAAATGGTATGTCTCCCTCAACATCTTTAGATTGTGCATCAAACATGTGTTCTTCCATCAATAAATTTTATTTACCATTGCAATAACAAGAATTGCTCATTACTGAATTAACTAAGACATAAAATTCTGTTTGAAAAATAACACCTTCATTCACTTTTGCTAGATACTCAACTTCCATAGTTGTAAATGTATGACCTCTTGTGTATAAGCAATGAATATATAACATTTATTTTGGACTAAAAAATAGTTATAACTTTCATACTTTCTTCTTATTTTCTTCATTTGCATAGCTTGGCACCTCCAACTCACATATATGCAAATAATGCAAAAGAATAACAAATTGTTGCATAGAGCTTACGTCTTTCATGTACAATGATCACTACAGACACATCAACTTGCTCTTGATGTTGAACAAGATCAAGAGTGATCTTGGAAGATTAAAGAACATCTTAAAATCAAACACCATCAAACAGCTTAATTATATATGTTAGAGCAGAAGAAACCAATCCTGATTTATAGAACTCTACTGTCCTAAATATATCAGAGTTTATAACATTAGAAATAGTTTTATTTACCTAATTAAACCATTCTAGATTTCTAGGGACATAACTTACACCAGCTTCACTCACTATGTTGGGTTCTTTGGAAACTGCTTCGGCCATAACCAAAGTAATGCAAGGATAACGTGAATTAACATCAATAAAAATAAAGTAAAATATACAAGGAGGTTTGTTGGCTGAGAAATAGTTCTAGAACATTTCTGAATTATCAAAGATTCAATATGGTAATAATACATCAAATACTCCCTCCGTTTTTAAATACTTGTTCCATTTCTCCATGCGCGGAGTTTTAGGAGAAATTGGAGAAAATAATAAAATATGGAGGTAGTGGGGTGGGTGGAAGAATAAAAAATTATATAAAGTAAAAGTAGTGGATAGAATTAGAGGAGTGAGGATATGAAATTAATAAAATATGATTTATGTTTGGTCCACTAGGTGAGAGAAATTAATTAAATATTGTAAAAGCTTTCCAAATAAGGAAATGGAGCAAGTATTTAAAAACGGCCGGAAAAGGAAAGTGGAGCAAGTATTTAAAAACGGAGAGAGTATTCCGTAAGGCAAAAAGAGTATCTTTCCTAACACATGCAAGAATAAGATGGCACGGCTGCAGCATCAACATGTGAAAACATGGAATTTAGATAAGTTTCCAAAGTCACCAAGTCTTAACACCTCCCCCCCCCCCCCCCCCCCCCCCCCCCCCCCCCCCCTCCCTCTCTCCCTCGCTAACATAACTGCCCTAAGGTAAGGTAGATTTGGATGCGTGTCCTCCACTGTTAACTGAAGACACATCAAGTTTCCAAACTCACCAAATCCACCATCAAAGTAAATGAGTGCCAAGTTTCCAAACTCACCAAATCCACCATCATATCCCAATACACAAATGAGACTAATTCACCCATCAAAGTAAATGAGTGCCAAGTTACTGCAAAAAGCAAACACAAACCCAAGGAGCAGTCCAAGAAAGCAAAATTGAACCAATCCAACTCCAAGACAAGCCATAAAACAAAAACTCGTCAAATCAAGAATGTGTCACTTGCATACATATCCCTCTTTTGTGATTCTAAACATGCTGAAAAGAAGGAATGATTCAGATAGAAGGTTGAACCCCTTACCCTACAAATCGCACCACCAAGGCTATTAAGAGGTTGTATTAAACACTCATAAATTCATAATATACTTGTATGTAACACTTGTGGGGGAAATTGATTCATTCTTTAAATCTAACATACAAGTAATCATAATAATTAAGACCAATAACTACAAGAATAATCCTTAACACTGATTTGAACAACCATGTATAATTGTTTTATATTCATTTATTATAAATATAAAAATAAAAAGAGTTTTTCTAAGTTATACCCCTAAACTTCTTCATTTTCTAAGTTGTGCCCATGCTTTTTCAAACGTTTAAGATGTGCCCTCAACCTCACTAATTTTTATTAACAATAACCTTTGACGTTAACAATAACCTTTTTTTATTATTTTATTTTCTGATTTTTTTTTAATTTTTTTAAGTGTTAAACCAATTAGAAACACGTATCAAATAAATAACGTCTCGACATCATTGTCGATAAAATAACTTAACTTTCGTTAATGAATATGACTGTCAAAGGGTATTATTGATAAAATATCGTGAAGTGGAAGACACAACTTATAACTTTGAAAAAACACAGGTACAACTTAGAAATTCAATAACTTGGGGGCATAGCTTAGAAAAACCCAAATTAAAAAAAAAAAAAAAAAAAAAAAAAATCAAAAATTGGCACTAACCCACATTTACTAAAAACATTCACATAGTATTCAACATAATATATCGTACGGAGCTTAAGAGCAATGATGTAGATAGAATTTGATCACGATCACTTGGCAGTTCATGACCAACCCCAACAACGCAACGACATCAACTAATCTAGTTGACATCCACATAACTTACTAAATTAAACAAGTTGAAGGCCTCTTAAAGCTCCTAAATTTCAACCAAAAATTCCAGAAAAATCCAAAACTTGCATTTATATATATGAAAATAAATAAGAAAGAAGAATTAAAGAGATTACAAATAAAATGAGGAAAAATGGAAAAAGTACATACAAATTCAAGGCCAATGCCTCTTGAAGCTCCCTGAACCAATGATACCGACGCTTCCCGATTGAACGAAGAGGAGCAAAATTGCCTTTGTATAAATCGGCACCTTGTTATAAAAATTAAATTAAATTGCATCATTTTCATCATATTACAAACAATTTTGTTTTTATTCACAATTCAAGCTTCCAACACTATTATCTTCCAATTTCTGCCTTCAATATATTAATTTTTTTTCCAAGTTTTGAATTTTTTGCATGAATGTGGGTGAAATCAGAAATACCCAGATGAAAATTCAGAGTTTAGATAAGGTGGGTGGGATATTATTGTTATTATGATGATGAAACAATGCAAATGAAATCATGAAGTATTACTTCCTAAGAAAAATAAAATAAAATAAAAAAAAAAATAAAAATAAATAAATTCATGGAGTACTAAAAACAGGGGAAATTGAGTGATAATGTGAGATGTTATAAATGTGAAGGAAGGAATAGTGATTATGTCACTAGTATAGATGTAGGTTAGTTATATATGAACAACTACATGTCAAAATATACTCTCTTTGTTCCTTATTGATAGTCCTGTCAATTTTTAGTTTCAAAATGATAGTCTCATTTGTTTTTTTTATAAGTACCATTAATTTTAAATTTTAACCAAAATTCCCTCGATTTTGCAACAATATTTGTTCAAATTTAACTTTTTTATGTATTTTTATTACTCTCTCTACTTTTTTGCATACCTAAAGTAAATTTACCTTTTCAATGTACTTTTACTACTCCCTTCGTCCCATAATATAGTTCTTGTTTGTGTTTTTTCACGGCATTAAAAAAATAGGAGGAAAAGTGGATGAAGTATCTTAATTAAAGTAAAAGGTACAATCATAGACAAAAGTTAGATAGAGAAAATGGAAAAAAGTACAATGTATGTGCAAAATTCAAGAGTAATTTAGGAATTACAATGAATAAAGTTAAAAAGGTGAAGGTATAATGGTCTTTACATACTATCCAAAAATAAAAACGGAAACACCATTTTAGATCTCCAAATTAGAAAAACAAGAACTATATTATGGGGCGCAGGGATTACTTCTTACTTATGTTTATTAATTTCCGTGAAAATTGTACATTGAAGAGAGATGAAATAAAAAGTAATATAGACCCAATTACAAGTGAAAAAAGAGAAAATAGTGATGGGACCACAATTTGATTGTACCACTGGAAGCTTATAGAATACCATTTGAAGTTTTTTATTTATCACTAAAAGCATATATAGTATCATTGAATATACAATAGTATATTTGACCACTCAATAAGAAACACACTATATTAATACCAATAGAAACTTATATAACACCACTGATAGTGTATTTGGTACCACTACAAGTATATATAATATCACTCGATATATAAAATGGTATTATTTGATCACCTAGTGATACCACGTGAAGTTTTGCGCAATTTAAAGCAAAATGACTGCACTGCCACTCATTATGTATTTGTAAATATCTCCTAAACCTCCCTTTAGAATCCTTCAATTGGAATGCAAATTAAGTGATTATTTTTGCAATTAACTTCGCTCAATGTAGCACTATTTATATGTTAAATCATTATTGATGCGTGGATGATCAATTAGTTTAGTTAGTTAAAGTTTTAAGGGAACAAAGTGAATATTTGAAATCACTAGCGTGGCTAACGCGCACGATGCTCGCTCATAGTTAGCCATGTTCGAGGATTTCTTTCAGTTTGGTTTTATGTCACTATATTATTAGTTTGTAAGATTAATGAGGGAAAGTATGTAAACAAAAAAATTCTGGGTATGAACAAATAACATTAATGTGAGCAAATAAGTAGATATTGTTGTGAAAAATATTTGTGGATGTCCATTATATTCTTGTACACTCTAGAATATTCTAGGTTTAGGGTTTAGTGTTTTCTAAGAAAATCCTAGCTATTATGTATATATATATATATATATATATATATATATATATATATATATATATATATATATATATATATATATATATATATATATATATATATAAATCCTCTACTCAATAGAATAATAAACTGATATATTCTCTTCTGTAAAAAAAATGATCTCTTATCTTCCCAATTTCTCTCATATTCTCTTAAGGGAGATAAAATTAGTATGTACTTGATAAACTCTAGAACATCATTCAGAGGATAATGCCATATCAACACTAAGATGGAGGGTATCATCTTCAAATATACATCCTCGTGTAATAAAGGCCATTGAATGTCATTGTAGGGAATATTTCAAGCATTATCCCTAGTTTGAACCCCATTGTGATCATACACTAAAAAACGGTGGCGTCCAAAGGGAAAGAAGCTAGAGCAAAAGAGTAGCCAACAAGTTTTAGGAACTTATAAACCGTTCACAGGGTGAAGGTTACACCCCTTAACGATCTAGGAAATCGTTAACTCCAATAGGTCTGGAACCATGACTGAAGTTCAGGGATGAAGGTACAAATGCAACCTAACAGAGATTGAACCTGCCCTAATAATAGGCCTCTACTTTATTCTTCTCGTATTCATGTGCGCTTTCTGACTAACATGCAATCAATAGGTTTACCCTAAACCTGTTTATCTATGTTGATTGAATGTTAATGCACAAATAAAACTATAATTGGCGATCACTTGAATTATAATCATATTAACCCTAAATAAGATTATTAATTATCTTATAAGCGTGATTATAACTACCAATTCCCTTTAAACATACATAAAAGGTATGATCAAGCAATAACAAATAAATATCAAGCCACATAACAATAATCAATAATAATAATAATTATAAATTATAAAAATAATCATAATCATATTAAAGCATAATAATATTAATAGCAAGATCCTAAGGATGATATTAACAAGATTAATAACAACCCCTAGCATGTCACTAAACATCAAAGATCAAATATATAGCCCTAACATGATACTAACATGCTATATTAGGAAGAAAATTAGGAAGCATCGCAGGAATCACAATTGTCATATTTGATATTAGAAATTATAGTTATTATCCTAAACATGATACTAGGAAGCAATAAAACGTCCTAACATGATACTAGGAATCATAATAACAACCTAGACATGATTTCTATATCATAATATCAATAAATCAACTAAAGCACTTACTTGGATGCCTCGTATCTCTTTCTAATAACAAAATACAGGCGTTAGTAACTTCAAAGAAAATAATAAACAAACAATTAAATTAAATAATTGAAAGAGAGATTTGGGACCAAACCCTCAAAAATTAAAACGTTTCACCTCTAGGGCGAAGGCAACTTCGAACTTGGCTAGGTGTTTCTAGATCTTGTGAATGCGGAATTTTGTATGAGAAAAGCTAGGAGCGAGAATAAGAGAGAGAGGAGAATTAGAAAACTAGAGAGTTGATGATGGAAAACGGAGGTTTTAGGAGGCTATTTATAGAGAAAATCAGTCGGATGTGATAAAAAACGAATCAGAGTTTTGACGAGAATAAAACACGATTGGCGCCAGACGCTGGACATTAGCGCCAGACGCCGAAGGTTAGCGCCAGACGCCAACCCTTAGCGCCAGACACTAATAACTGGCGTCAGGCGCTTATAGCCGTTTTCACGCGTTTTCTTAATTTTGATAAAATTTAACCGTATAGAAGGGCAAAATCGTATTTTCCTTAAAAACACTTCTTTTATTCTGATTAAAACTATAAAAAGTCAACTAAAGTCAATTTATCAATGTTAATTAAATTAGGAATGAAAAGAACCTTCTAGAAAAATCTAGAAGACTAAAATCAATTCTAATTGCATTAGGAATGATAAATCAATATTAGGCCCTCCTCTAGATCATTGAGCCGCATATAAATATCAAACTGGGCCCAGATTAGTTATTTGGCCATAACTTCCTCATTATTCATCAGAATTAGGCTTATAATATATCGTTGGAAAGCTCTTTTCAAACCCCATCCAACTACACTATTATTGGACCCTTGCCATGTGTTTAGGGTAATTTTACCCCGCCACGTGGTCCAATTAGAGGATGACACGTGTCAGCCTCAGGATGGCCCAAAGTGGACCAATCCCGCTTGACACGTGTCACTCTAGAAATTAAGGGGAAAAGGCGGCCTTCAGGCCCAAATCCCGAGAAAGCCGCAAAGCGGCGCGGCCCACCAATGATTAGGGTTCAGTGACCTAATCAGGGGCACAATTCTCAAAGACCCTATAAATAGGGAGATGTCCCTCTTTTTGAGGGCACGTTTTTTACCATTTATTACACTTGCATTCTCAGAACGGGTTACATTGTTCTTCGCGACCTCGAGAGGTCCAACAATGGTGAATAGTCCGTTTCTTCACCAAATTGAGTCAAACAAGTCTTAAAATAATCCCAAGGAAATATACAAGCATAATCAAGCAAATTCATGGCATAAAATTCGACAAACAAAGCAAATTAAGCAAAGCAAGTTTCGAAGTTTTCGAAATTTCGTGAACAAGAATGGATAATTCATCAAAAACCGGAGTGGTTTGAATAAAACTTACATAGATCGGGAAAATAGATGTGATAAGCTTCGATTTTCAACAAGTTTGAGCGAATTCGGCTAAGAAATGAGCAAGAACGATCGAGTTGAAGTTTCGAACAAAATCGCGAAAAATGCAGAGCATCAGCGGAAAATGAAGAACAAAGGGAGGGTATTTAAAAACCCAATCCTGTCGCCAAACGACAAATTTGTTGCGCGGCGACAAGGTCTGTCGCTTGGTGACACGCATAAAACGCAGCTACAAGCATTTCCAGCGTGCGCTGAAGTGGCGACAAAATACAGGGCTCCATATTTTGGTTATATGGACCTCGTACATCAATTTGGGTTCTTTGGTACGCCAGTTAGCCCCTCTAAGCAATTTGACATGATTTAGTGATCAGCTCGATTACAATCACATTAAGTGATCGACCTGATAAAAGATCGTCTCACTTAGCTTAAAGCGCCTAAGTATTGGCTCATTGCAAAGGCACCGAAATAATGGTTCATAAACAAAAGAATTACCGAAGTAATGGTTCACGAATAGCGGAAGCGCCGACACATTGGCACAACAGCAACATTCAAGTAACATCAAAGATCAATAAGTAGAATGGTCTTCGACGATGTCCCAAGGTAGAGAGGAGATTGTCTATAGCGGTGAAGCACTGACGTGGCGAGGTAATGCCACAACTCTGAAGATGGCAAAGTATGGTCACCTTCGACAATGTCCCAAGGTATGGAGAAGATTGTCTATAGCGGCGAAGCATTGCCGTGGCGTAGTACTACCACAACCCTGAGGATGACGAGGTACGGTCACCTTCGATGATGTTCCCGAGGTACTATGGAGAATTGTCACCAAAAATATTGAAGATGACGTAGTAATGTTACCTTCAACGATGGCATTCACGAGGCACTGTGGAGGTTGTCACAAAATGCAACAACAAAATCGGTTACTTTCGGAGACGTGTGCTCTACAGTGCAAGA